GTATGGACACTTTCAATATAATAGGTAAAAATATGATGTAATATGTATCGTTTATATAATGTAATAGGTAGTGGTTATATTGTAAAGTATCTATCCTTTTTATAAAAGTGTCCATACTTTTTTCACTGTGGAAAACATTAATTTAAGGTTATCTTTTGAGTGAGTTTTAATATATTAATTTAATAATTATAGGCGTCTAATGATTTATTTTTTACGTTACGATATATATTATTATTAAATTAAAAATTCTAAATAATATTTTATAAAATATCAAAACAATCAAATAATTTTTTGTGCAAATGAAATTATTAAATTAATATTGTAGGTGGAAAACATGAAACACTATTAAAAAAATTGAAACATAAATTACATAACTTTAAAAGAAGTATCGATCCTTTTTATAAAAAGTATGGACACTTTCAATATAATATAATGTAATAGGTAAATTTTTAATGCTATCGGTATAAATATACCGGTTTACTTATAAAATATGTAAATATAAGCGCTACCTATTACATTATATAAGCGTTACCTAGTATGTTATTGTACTTTATAATATTTTCGGTTAAATAATATAACATAACCAATCTAAATTTTAACCGATCACTTATTTAACCGATTACACCGTATATTAACCGATTTTTAGACACCGCACCGCATAACTATCAGGATACAACTCTCTCCTTATTAAAAGATTGCAACGGCCTGCATAGAAATTATGACCCATAGAACAAAAATTATGGTGTACTTTACAGCGTCTAGAAGGCAGGCTTGTGTGGGATTTGAAATGATGTCACGATGATGATAAAGAAGAAAAGTAAAAAACAATTAAGGGGTTTTTACACAGGACCGGAATTGGATCGTTTAATACCAAAATGGCGGTGGCGTCAAATGCTCATATCACACAACCCAATACTAAGAGACCCTGTAATTGCGCCGTTGCATTAGGTGCAGTGAACACTCTCATAAAACATACATGGACTAATCCTGTGCCGGCTTCCCTCAAAAATTAAAAATTGCTGGACCAAATTAAAATTTCCCCCCTTTTCTCTCTTCTATCACGGTCTGTTTTCTGAAGAAATGAAGGGTTAATTATGAAATATAATCCATTTTGAACGATGAACAATCACACTGCAATGCCGTCATCTTAGCTGATGTGTTTACAGTTCTGAATGATGAGAATTTCCTAACAAAATCTTACAAGCTCAGTGTTTGGTTGCTCAATTTGTATCGAGTCTTGGTGGGTTTTGCTTTCTGTCAAAAGCTTCGGCCTTAGCTCAAAGTTTTTAAGAAACCCATATTTAACTTCTTTCTCTTTATTTGGTAGTTGTGATTTGTGAATAAGAAAACTGATGGTAGATGTTAGGGAAACCGGTGGGTCTTCTTCCTTTTGTGTGTTCATTATTTTTTTTTAAGAGATAGTATTTAATAAATAATAAAATTTGGAAATCAATTGTGAAGGAAACTACCGAGAAGGTGATAAGTTAGGTTGAATTTCTATTTCAAAATTGTATTTTATGAAGAAAGTAGAAGGTGACTGATAAAAAATAAACTAATACATGTGATAATTTTACAAGCGATTGTATCTAATAACGAATTCATAATTTTATATCAAAATTTAAATTTACATGAAATTATACTAAAGCTGAAGAATACGGAATTAAATTATCAATAAAAAATATTTAAATTATATAATAATTTAAAATTTTAAGATGATAGGATTGCTTCCAATATCTTTTTTGGTCAATAGCGTATGATATGATTTCTCTTTCACTAATTTTTTAATCTCACATTATTAATAATAAAAGGTGTTAGTTGAGTCACTTTTAATTAAGAAATAAATTAAGGTGATAAGGTCAAGATTATAATATTATGAGAGCTTGGAATGTGCCTATAAAATGGAAGGGGGGGGGGGAGAATGGTTTACACAAAGGGAGTGAAGGAAACAAAATTCCAATCACACAAATGTTGTCCAAAACGATGGCGTTTTTTATAGTTAGCATTCTCTTGCTTTCCAGTCTTCATATTTTCACTACTCCAGCCTCCGCTCGACCACTGGTTGCCCTAAGTAAGATCAATTTCTTTAGTATTTTGTTGGTCTTGTTAACGATTTTTATTTATTTATAAAAATAGATTGTTTAGGATTTAATATCAGACAAAATAAAACTATGTTTAAAAAGGGGTTAGATGCCACTTACAATTAGCGAAAAACTTTTAGTTTTACCATTTTTAGTATCGCTGAATGAGGGGAAATCAAAAGCTTATATTAATTCTTTATTTTTTTTCCAGTGTATATCTTCACATTTTCTACTGTTAATCTCGACATTTGATTTTCCCTCATCCAACAATCCTAAAAAGATGTAAAACCTAAAAGTTTCACACTATATAATTAGATCATGTCCCGATTAAAAATATATCTTAAATAATGCTTAATATATTATTTATAATATTATTTTTGAATTATATATTATAATTTATTATTATTACTATAATTCAAGTATTTTACTTTTTAGTTGATATAATATTCGTTTGATTGATATTGTCGTTATTATGATATTTAAGAAATCATTGGTTCGAGTGTATGTATGATTGTCTATTATTGTACGATCGAAGGTCATATATAGTTTAAATATTATAATTTATAAACTGAAATATTTTATTTTTTTAATTTCAAGAAAAAAATTACTTTTTTTGATAACCCAAAAGAATAAGAATTCCATTTATTTCTTACTACCATTATTATGCATTTAATAAAAGATTTAAAGTTATATATATATATATATATATTTATCTAAAGGGTTATATTTAATTTAATTTTAAAATATTACTAATGAAAGGTATTATATATAGTGGTGTTTGGTTTGTGCAGAAAGAGGTAGCGGTCCAAAGCCAAGGCCGGGGCCAAGTCCCAAGTGTAGCATTGTAAATGGTAAACGTATTTGCCTATGATAATTATGATCCACTAAAGCTATGGAAAAGGGGGCACTTGTCTTGGTAAATATAATATATTTTTTTGTATTTAATTTTTAGTTAAATACATTATATATCCTCAAATTATAACTTTTATTTTAAATTGGTCCTTAAACTTTTGAATATTTCAATTTCATCTCTAAATTATGGCTCTCATTCTAAATTAATCCCCAAACTTTTAAACATTTCAAAATCATCTCCAAACCGTGAGCTTCATTTTATATTGGTCCCAAAACTTTTGAATGATTTGTGGGGTTGTTCAAAAGTTTAGGGACCAATTTAGAATGAGGGTCAAAGTTTGAGGATGATTTTGAAATGTTCAAAAGTTTGAAGACTAATTTAGAATGAGACTCATAGTTTGAATGTTCAAAATTTAGGGACCAACTTAGAATGAGACTTATAGTTTGAGGATGTTTGGTGTAATTAACTCTTTAATTATAGTATTTATGTGTAATATGATATTTATTTTTTTAATGGTGTAATTTTTATGCAATTAAGTATCTAAGGTTCTTCTTTTTTTTTTTTTGCAATTAGGTATCAAATATTTTTATTACATGTATCAATTCTAATTAGTTCATACTTATAATTTTAATATTATTTAATTAACAAAACATTATGTGTTACAATTTTTTTGGAATAAGTATGTGTTACAAATTTAGAAGAAAAATATTGAACTTTTAAATACGAACACGTGTAATATTTAAAAAAATATATACTAAATACTTGATTGGGTAAGAAAATAAAAACCGAATATCGAAATATAAAAAAATAGATACTTAATCATACTAAAAAGTTAGGTGTCACATTACAAATAAATGCCAAAACTAATGGGCAAAAGTCATATTTACCCGTATATATTAGCACAGGGTTTCAATTAATGAAGTGATTTTTGAATTAACAGCTTTTATATTTATTATGCACATATATATTTTTCTAACTGCAATACTTAAGCTTGCCATCTTCCTTCTGTATATTTATAGAAAGATTTGGAAAATAAATGTGAAGGGAACTACTAAGAAAGTGATTTGCATTAAATTAAAAGTTAATGTTGAAGTCCTCGATGTTTGAATTTCAAACTTCTCTTCTTGTAGAAATAAGATAATATACTTCCATTGATCAAATAAATAAATGGAATACTTATGTTTAATTTTATTATTATCTCCTTTACCATTATTTGCATTTTTTATTTTAAATGACTAGATTGATTTATATTTCATAGTTATGAGTGGATGGCCGTTTGAAAATGGTGAAGGTGGCTGGTAATGACCGACGGCAGCTGACATGGAGGTTGGAATGGGGATTTTTTGGGTTTTTGCGTAATTTAGAAAAAATGAATCTTCTTTAAATGAATAATATTTCTAGTTAAAAAAAATCTTTAAAAGAATATGAGGACAACAAATATCAATTAACCGTTTTTTAACGGCCGTTATAGCGTAAGCACTTAAAATTGTAACGGATAAAACGTTAGACACCGACTTCAAGGGAAAATTATTTAGGAACCTAATGTTAATAACGGTATAGTTTGGGCACTTATTTCTTTCATTAGCCTCATAGCTTGGAACCATGATTTTAGAGCTGCCTATAAAACGGAAGCTGGGAAAGAATGGTTTACACGACCAATGAAGTGATTTGAAAAGAAACGATTGTGTATTATATTAGGACGGGGTTTCAATCAATGATGTGTTTGCAGTTTTGGATTTGTGTAATTTGTAGCGATAACACTTGATACATTGCCTTTGTTTTATATGTGAGGTAGCGTATTTACAAATTACTAACAATATGGATTCAACCAACCACTAAAAATCATGACAATTGCACCTTCTACAGCATAACCATACATAAAACGTTTGTCCACTATGTACATTAACTAGATGCACCGAAAGAATTACAGAACTGAAGTGAAAAGACAATATCTGCTTTGTTCTTCTCTTGAAAATTCATAAGGGAGTGAAAGGGCATAAGAATGGGTTAATTAAGAAGCCAACACTTAGAACAGCAACGTGAATAAACAAGGCAAAAAAAGGAGAAGCTTACCCCAGAAATAATGGATTCATGAATTCCGTGGACATTTCCTCAAGCATCATTCCTTTCATACTCTTGGCTAACCAAATAGCTGTCTCCCTAGGGGACACCAAGTCTTTCCCAAAAGGCTTCAAAACAACTGAAAGCTCTTCCAATCTCTTCTGTTGCAATAACTCTGCAGACAATTCTAAAAGTCCTTCAAGTGCCTCTGCCCTTTGCCTATCAGACTTCACATCCAGTGTTTCTTTTTCCGGTGCTGAATCAGATCTTGGACATGAGGAAATGGAGTTTCTAACATCTGTTTCCTTAGAACCACCATAATCCGAAGCGTTTGATTTTGAACTTAAAGCTTCAGAGCAACTTGATGGCATAAGGTTTATTGGACTAGTCATGTTTCTCATGTCCAATTCATCCCTCACAACATTTATGAAATTCCCAACATCCACACCCATTTCCATGTTTTCCAACACCGGTTGCTCACTGCCAACACGGAAGCTACTATGCCTTATAACATGTATAACGTCATCAGAAACAGGAGGATAAGAGGTCACTGCAGGTTTTTCAATTGTACGACTAGGGTCATTTGTTTTTTTGTCTGGCAATGAATTGTTCTGACCAGAAAAAATTGGTGTGGCAAGGCAAGGCATATTTCCTGCAACTGACGAGCAAAGTTCCGTTACAGTGAACTTATCATCACTGCCAGATGCAGAAGAAAGCTTTGAATGGAGCATCATATCAACTCTGCTACTCGGTCTTTTTGCCAATGCTTCATCCTTAATACTAGGCCTGAGTACAGGGCAATCTTCACCGGTTGTTGGTTCACTTATAGGGGTATCCCTGCTACTTGTCCTGCTAATAACGGCATCGTCCCTGCCACTAGAGCTTCTTATGGGGGCACCATCCGAGCTGCTTAACATTCTAATAGGGACGTCACCACTGCTACTCGACCTCCTTATTGGGAAGTTATCCCTACAACTAGGATCACTTGTATGGATATCATCCATATAGTTAATTTCGCTTGAAGGAGCATCATCTATGCTACTTGTATGGACTAATGGAGCATCCTCCCTACTAAATGTCCAGCTTACAGCGGAATCATCTTTATCAACAAATGTTTCTTCAGAAACCAGTCCTGGAAGGTCCATACAGGCACTCAGACTCCTTTTTGCATCAACCGAAGTAAAATGAAGATCCTTGGCTGGATCAGACTCTTCAATTGAACACGTGATTGATTTATGACCATACCCGTGATTTTCTCTCAAAAGAACCTCAGATGTGTCTGATTTCAGAGCAGGTAAGCTGTATGGTAGATGTGATTCCAAGCTCTTTGAGTGGGTGGTTTTCTCACGATCATGCTTCTGTTCTGTCATGTCGATGAAAGCGGTTGTTGCATCATCACACATCTCAAATGGTTTAATTGAGACTGAAGATGAAGCAGAATTGCTGCTATCTGTTTGCACCTCCTTGGTACCTGTCGTTAGAGCTATCTCAGGTTTTACCATCCTAGACGCATTTCTAAGGCAATCATTGGGCAGTTCACGAGTAACAATCTCACGCTCCTGGTTTATCTCGGGAGATCCTAACTCTGGTACGTTACTTGCTACATTTGAAACGTCACTTTCAGCATGCTTCATTCTTCCAGTAATAGATGATCGTCTTGCAACATTGGAAGGAGTTCTTTGTATTTGCTTGGAAGGTAGTACATCTTCAGCAACATGTTTGCCAGGTGAAGGATGAGGAATCCCCTCATGTTGAGGTTTGGCCTTTGGGGAGGATTCAATTAAAGGTAACTGGATAGAAGAATCTTGCAAATAAGAGAGGATATTGGTAATGAATAAGATTAAAATAGAATCACATAGTGGCAGTCATACCTGGTGGTTCAAATGGTGTGATCCCGGTTTCCTTTTTGCAGAATCAGATGGTGATTTGGCTGAAGCCAAAGTTGGTGTATCTGGCTTAGACTTTGAACCCAGAGTGGGAGCAGGGGGTTTGAGAACTTTGGGCGATGCTTCTACGTTACTTCTTTGAGTCAATCCACGAGCAGCTTTTGTACGGCTGCCTCTCATTGGGGAACCATTTTCTCTTAGTTTCCCTTCTTTCAAAGCCGTCATTATACTTTTGATGATTTTTGGCTGTTTTGTTAGAACGTTTGATCCGTGTTCCACAAAAGGAGGTTTCATTATTCCGTTTTCATCAACTTTGCTTGAGCAAACAATGGGGTCATTCTCTTCTTCACTTGGCAGGTCCTGCTCCGTGCTTCCTTCGTCATTAGAAATTGAATCTGTGTCACTATTCTGACTTTCAGCCATATTTTTCCTATTACCTCGAGATTCTCGGCCAGGGGAAATATGTGTATTCAAGGAGCAATTTGTTGAAGTGTTGTTGAAGCACGGACGATACTGATCAACATATGGCTGCAAATAAGGGTGCTTCAAAAGTTCTGATGCCTAATCAAGATTACAACTCAAATCGTTATGTTTTGCAGGTGTAGAATTCTTAGAAATATGACAAAAGAAACTCTTACACTTGGTCGATGCTCTGGATTCTTTCTTAGCATGCCCTTGATAAGTGTTTTCCTGTATGTGTAACGTTAAACAAATTAACTATCATGTACTTTGAAGTTGATTGCTTGCCAGAGGATAAAGCATTAATCATGTTTAGTGTTACTACTTTGAGCTTTATAAGGGTAAAAAAATATGACTTTCCGAGATGTGTAAGAATTTCATTAAAATATCTTGATTTTTTCCATACATAGTAGATGAATAAATAGTTAGAAGCAAAAGAAGAAGAAAAACCAAGAACGGAAACAAGGATAAATAACAGTGAGCTCTAAAATGCACATAATACTTACAAGGATGGAGAGTAACAAGAAGGCAAAGGGCCTATAGAGGAACGATTTATCTTGCTTATCAACCCCGCCATGTCCTAGAACAGGAAGTTTGATAGAAGTTAGTTGAATCAAAATTGTATAATATACATGATTAGTGGAAAGCATAAAATTAGCAGTTGCAGGAAACCTCTCAAAGGGCATTAAATTTAACCAGTCAAGTAGACAAACATAAGCATTTTGAAACAACAGACTTGCTACATTTGGTAATGGTGACAAGAAGATAAAAAAAGGGGGGGAAACATAGAAATCTTACAATTTACTTGTTTTTAATATAATATCAAATGAAATACACGCTACTTGTCAAGATTGGGTCTAATGACGGATTATTGTAAGTTCATTCCAGAATACAAGAAACAAATTCGACCAAAAGAAATGTGAGAACTCTTACAAAAGCTTTAAAAGCAGGGCGATGAGCAGCCATCTCATACATACAGCACCCTGTTCAACAAGAAGCGGTTTATCAGGGGGAAAAAGACTTATCCATGTCAAATATGTATATAGGAAAAGACATACCCAGAGACCAGATATCAGACTTGAAACCATATGGAATATCAGCAAACAGTTCAGGACACATGTAATAGGGAGTTCCAACCACCTGAGCCACGTATAAAACAACTATTAACTTGCAATGAATCTACAAATAATTAGCACGTTCTTATGTAAGGAAGAATAAATACACAAACAAACAAACAAAAAAAGATATCAAAGGTATATAAATTGTCTTCACTGAAAATGGTCCAAATATAGTAGGTCGTCAATAAAAGGGTTTGGGAACACATAGTTGTAGGCTAGTGATTGTTGACATTATCCCCATCGTTGGAGGTTCATGATTCAAATTTCAACTACCTGCTCCCTTTTTTCTTTGGACATTTATGACCGGTATGGCATATCCTTTTGAAACTTTTAGCTTCTTGTATGTTTAACTAATAATGCAATGCCTTCAAAAATACGTCTCCCCTACCGTTAATATATGCTTATTTTGACTAGTAACGGAAGTTGCATACATGTCTATTTTCTCAATTTCTTAGCAACTGAGACGTCAATACCAGAACAAACAAATAATTCTTATTCTCTCCCAATTCTTTCCTTGAAGAAAAAGGTGATTATCTATGTTAACATGGCTGATCTGTTTATAATTTTTTACTTGACTATTAATAACAATTTGTTCTCGGCAGCTAAATTTAAAATTATTACCAAGCTTAACTGCAAGCTGTGGCACACAATATCATATTAACAATTTATATTAATTTTCTTCTGTGTCAGATCCCTCAACAAGTGGAGCATTTTATGATTCATAAAGTACCGTGCTTCATTGCAAGACTTTTACCATAAGGTGTACAGGGAATTTGAGGTATCAGCAAACAGAACACAAAGATTAACAAAAGCTTTATTTTGAGTTTAGAAGCATAAGCTTAACGTAGAAAAAAAAAAAGAACCCAAGAATCTTTTTCTGTTTTTGGAGATGGTTGAAAAAGATTAAAGACAAAAAGCATATCAAAAAGGTATTTCATTACATGGTTACATACCGAGGAAGCCAAATCATCTGCCTTCAGAGTTTTGGCAAGTCCGAAATCCCCTAAACCAGTTCAGACCAGAAATTTAGGATATCAATATGCAATCAGGTAGAATATTTAATATATAGGTTGAGGATGAAATGTGAGGGAGAGAACTTGTAAGAAAACAATAAGAAAAGGTAAAAGACGAACTTACCAAGGCGGACATCTTGATCTTTGGTAAGAAAAATATTGGAACACTGACGAGATAGTGCCAAATTCAGTCCATAAATCATTAAGATACAATAAAGACTACTCCAATTTTATTTTATTTAAAAAAAAAAACCTTTATGTCACGGTGCAGAACAAAATTGGAATGCAGATATTCAACAGCCAGAAGAAGCTGTGCAAACCACTTGCAGAGTTTCTGCACAACGTTTACAAATATGGGTGTCAACTTGCAAGGCATAACTCAAGAACAAACTAACTTGTAAAATCAGCAAAGGCAATTAGATTACCTCCTCGGTGAAATAGATCCCATTTGACTTTTTCATCAATTCAGCCCTGTTAGTAAAAACAAAAGAATATTGACACATTTCAAAAATTGCAGAAATTAAAGAACAAAAGGCTCTGAAGTCTGAACCAAAGTTCAACATACAAGTTTAAAAACTCACATATCTCCACTTTCACAGTATCTAGTAACAATGCAAACATAGCAACCCTGAATAAAAAAAAGCAGTCAAGTACTCAACAAGCTATTAGTAAAAGTGGGTTTTGATTCGAGAAACCAACACAAAACAACAAAAAGTAGTATCGTATGATCGTATCGTACTTTCTCAACCCAAGCTTCCTTAAACTCAACAATGTAAGGATGATGAACTCGCGCTATAAGTGCCATCTACATTCCGAAAGATTCAAGAAAAAATATAAATCGGAAAACTTAATCTGTCTAGTACTACATATTAAATTAGATAAACAAATTAAACTAACTTCTTGATGTGCCGATGTCCTGCAACGCTCCGTTTGCCGCGCCAATCTGATCTTCTTCAATACATACCTGGAAAATGTAGAAACAAATACCAAAAATTCAAACATACACACGCACGCATTATTAAAAAAAAAAGATGAATTATAAAATTACTTCTTATTCTCGGTTTTGTGGCGAACGAGAATGGCAGCGCCGAAAGCGCCACGGCCGATCTGTTCCATGATCTCGTAATGCTCCATCCGGGACTCCACTGCTTTTAACTCTTCACTTTATCCTTTTTCTAATCAAAATAACGAATAAAAAGAGCAATCGAAACGAGGTGAAGAAACCAAAATCATCCTTCGTCAAAACCTTCTTCTACGATCTGCTCCTCAACTATTCATTGCAATCGAGTTCTCTGAAGCTTGCTATTTCACTTGACCTCTATAGCAGGAAACAGATGATAACAATTTTTATTTTTCCAGTTACGAGTTTTGTAGAGTGAGAGAGAGGTGGTTAATTAAGTAAACAACATTATTCGTGTTTAGTCAATATATATTTTTTTGTAAAATTTAAACGATTTGACCAAAATAATTTTATAACTTTATATGTAAATATTATTAATTTAACATTAAATTTTATATCTTTATCATAATTTAATAAATTTTATTTTTAAGTAAAATTTATATTCTTTTAATCAAATATTATAATTTTATATTTATATTAAATAAATTAAATAAGTAATGTAATATTCTCATATAACGTGTGATATAATTTTAAATTTCAAACATTTTGTATTTAAAAATAAAATTATATTTCCTGAATTAAACACCACTTATTTGCATTAAAAAAACATACAGAATTGAATTTATTAAAAAAACGGTGCTTAAATTTCATTGATTCCATTATTGCTATTTGATTTATATCTCATTGTTTCTTAATTCCCATCCTTATAAGATTGACAAACAAAGTGTGACCATCAATTTCATTTTGTCAATCATATTAAAATATATATATAATAATTGAATAATGAAAAAAAAATGATTGTCCCTTGTTATCATATGTAATGGGGTAAGGGGAGGTAAGATAATAGGTTGTCCCCAACATCAAATTGAGAGTAGCTTCCGTAGAAGACATCCGAATTATGAAATGTCCTCCGTGGGACTCGATCTCACGACTTCAAGGCTAAGAACATTGTGCTCTACCAATTGAGCTGAATAGTCATCTCATAATGAATGATCTATTAATTAATTGAACGATATTAAACTTATTAAGTAACTTCAGTGATTAAGAAAAATGTTGTTATCTTTATAGAGTTAAAGGTCTTGACTCGACCAACTGTTCGTATAGAATGTGTACGTTGTTAATTATTAAAAAAATTAAATAAATATTATCTTATAATTACCTTATACTACTAAAAAAATTAACTAAATGATAAGAGTATTTACCTGCATCCACTTTATACATATCACCATTTAAACAAAAAAAAATTAATAATTTAATAATTGTTAATCAGTATTTAGATTATTCATTTTGAACGCAATATATAAATGATGTATTTAATAAGAGAGAAAAATAGGTTGACTCCAGCAAGTTTAGCAATCCAAAGCAATGATTATTGAATTATATGCCTCAGCAGCAGCATATAAGAGTGAGTTGTAAAACCATATTCTTTTAAAATGAAAAATAAAATAAGAAAAAAAATGTGAGCTCTTCTGTTTATAAAAAGGATGGATGGAGGAGGAGGAGCAATGTTTCAGCGCCATGCAGCTTTCCCATCCCTCATTTGTGTTGAAGGATGTGTTGGTGCCATGGTCCAGCTGCTCTGGATTATTCCCCCTCCGCCCAGCGCTAACATGCGCACATGCTGGTACGGAAAACGAGGCAAACATCTTGAGTCCCGACCCCACCACCCTTCCTTTCCTTTTTTTAATCCCAAAAATGGAAATTCATTAACATTCATTTGGGGCTCACTAATAAATAAAACAAAAACACAAAAAGTATTGCTATCAATTATAAATTTATAATAAAATCGGAACTAATATCAGTTTAAATAACTCATTGGACAAGTGTTCTCTGAGCATAAATAAATCAAAATATATTTTTAATTCAAATTTCTTAAATTTGAGATTAAAATTTATATTTATAATCATTTAATTTATTTAATATATAAATATGAACTAATGGAAACTGAATTGTTTGTCATGTTCTTATTTATGGTTCCACGGATATTATTTCAGTATATTGCATAAACATCAATATTTATGAAGAAAACAATAATCTAATTATATACGTAAATTTTTTAATCAATAATAATAGTCAGTTTTACTGATAAATAAAAATAAATTTAAACAAATTAATCATTAAATGATGAAAATAAATCTGTATAAAAAAGATTAAAAAAGTTTAATCAAATAATTTTTAAAAACAATGTAAATAAAATTATTACCGACGATAAAAATAAATGATATCCACATTGATATAAACAAAATCAATACGTAACATAAATTTTTTCTTGAATTAAACTTTATTTTAAGATGGTAACTTAATTAAGTAATTGTCATTTCAATAGTTATTAATATTCTATACATTGATTAATTATTTTAAATAGATGATCTTTCGTATTCAATTTACTTCGTCTGCGAACATCAAAATTTAAACGTCTAACCTTGTTTAAGAGATATAATATTTCATCTCATTATACTAACTAATTATTGGTTTAAATCGCAATATTTAATTTGTAAATCAAATACTATGATTTGATCCATGTAATCATTTTTATCACACTGTTAGGCAAAGTTTGAGGGCTTATCTTGAAGTAAATCTATTGTAACTTGCAACACTTTTCCGAACATGTAAGATTTTGTTATGTATTACAGATTCGAAAGCGATGCACCAAAAAAAAGAGGTTAATTCCGTAAAAAAATTGGTTAATTCAATGCATCAGTTTCAGTTTAGGTCTAATCTTTTTCCTTGTCCCACAGATCATATGGCAGTGGAATATGTCACAGACATCAAAATTAATTTTAAAAAAATGGAATTATTGGTGGTAATATAACAGTAAAAGAGAAAAAGGCAAAAAGCAAAGGATCTAAGTGGGGAAGTAATCTCTTGGATACCATTGCCACTGGGGGAAAACTTTGCTGTTAAAGTGTAAACAAATATAATCTACTTATCAGCAAGAAAATCAACGTACCAAACTTTAAATTTGATAATAAATTTATTGCCCTAAACTAATCATTGGTTATCTGGGAAAAGACGTCACAATTATTAGGGTTTATGAATTTATTTTATTTATTTTAATAAATTTGAGGTAACTACAAGGTAATACCTGTTCAAAGATAACTCTCAATCATTTGACATTGATCACTCGTACTCTTGACATTAACGGTGCTCAAACCGGGACCCGAAGGAATATCAACAATTTCTTTACCACTGAGATCACGGGGATTCGTGCTTATTTACTTATTTAAATTTCTTATAATTAAGGTTTGGGTATATTATATAGTTATCAATTTAATTACATATTATATTGATTAGTTTTGGATATAATTATTTAAATAGGTTATATGTACTTATATTTATAAGTATACTTATAACCTCTGAAGTATATTTGAAAAGATTCTTTAGAAATGGTTATATAATAATGGATGGATTGAGAGATCGGTCGAGGACAATCATTCTTAAAAAATTTAAATTTTTATATAATTTTAGTATTTAATTTATATTTTCTATTGATAATATGTTTTCGCTCTTTAAAAGTTTATAGGTTCGACTCTTTTAAATTTTTGTAAATTCATTTACTAACATAAAATCTCGTATACCTAATTGAATATAATATAGTAAGAAGATGGGATTAAGGTTCAAACTAAAGAAAGCGAGTGAATCCCACTGAAGAGAACGTGATGACAGCCCTGAAAGGCTAAAACCCACAGGGAGCCATGTTGTTAAGATTTTGTATGATACTGTAAACGTGGGTTGGGTGGTCCAATTTGCCTTGCAAAATATTGCAATTTGCAAGTAGATGGACTGACTCACATGCTCATTTATTCATGCTAGGCTTTTAGATGATTTTTATCCTTTTAAAAATATTTTTTCTCAAAAAAGAAATAAAACAAAACAGATTATTCAGCAAATACAAAAGATTAGAATAAGGTGAACATTCCAGCACCGTCACATATTAGGAATCCCAAATGTTTTAAAAGGGTCAGATCCGAACCACCAAACTCCGCAAAATGTATGTTAGTCATGGCAAGCAAAGCTAGGGGCTCGCTCTTAACATATCTAAACCCGAAAATCCGGGTAGCGAGCCGGTTCACCGTAAGCTACCCGCACTTCCAGTTGCAGGCATAGAGGCAGCTTAGTGAAAAGTTTGCTTCACCATCACATTGTTGGTATCGAAAGTGTTGGCCGACGACGCGCTGCCCTTCATGGTTTGCTCCAAACGATGAACAAGCGACATGAATATCTCCACCCTCGTAACATCCCTGTTTGCCTGTACTTGGCACTATCGATATTAAATACACAGCTTACACATCAAAAGTCTATTAGAATGTTCAAGGACCTTATCTTACCTCCACTGCAAAACGCGCCCATATCTTGTCATTCCTAGTTTCCATAACTCCCTTCAAGATGCTCAATCCCATTCCTCGGATTATGTCAGCTATTTCGAGAAAGAAACCCCGTTCTTCACAAAGCATCTGCCATGGGACGCAAACACGGTCACACAGTGGAGAAAGAAAAGGTACATCTTGTACAAGTACAAGACTCCCTACCTCCACGAGCATCTGCCGAGGCGGATTCAGATCATCGACTATAATAGGACATATCATAGATTGTGACCCAACCTCAAATGCCCATGTCGTCCCTCCATCGAGGTTTTCCTTTATCTGCAAACTCAAACACGAGAAAACATCAAAAGCAACGTCGGTTCAAATACTGCTTTGGATAACTTCTCGAACAAGTTTTGCCAATATTTCGATTTTTTTCATAAGCGATCGAAACTTGATCCGTTCACTACTTCGAGGGTCAGATAATAGAGGAACTCGATTACGAGCAAAGATTAAATTCATACCTTAGACTCGCCTGTTGGTTTTAGCTTGTCTGCATGCTTTGTTACACTTTGCAGGAAAAGCATATGCTTGATGGTTTTTTCTAGCAGAGCATCTATGCTACACTGTTAAATCACATTAAAGGGTGGACATTAATGACAATATTCAATATAGGAAAGCATATCAAAGAATGATGTAGGTGCTTCAAAGAGTTCAAAGCTGAATTACTTTCGCTCCATTCGGTACAATTTCCCTCAACTCCTTCACTCGATCTTGGATCATCTGCCGATCTTTTGGCCTCGGTCTAGGGTTCTCTCCAGGTTTTAGCCTTTTACGATTCGGTTTGGTCATTTCATCGTTCCTCTTTGAATATGCAGTCGAGAGACTGCTATCGTGCTTTGAAGTATGGCCCGACTCAACCAATGAACTGATTTGAGACCCATAAGCAGAAGTAGTTTGAGAACAAATCCCGGCATCATCCTTGCTACAGCCGGATATAAAAGAACCAGGTGGAAGAGTTCCTTCTTTCGACAAAGGCTTATGAAGGCTGCCGAGTAACTCCCCATGTATTATATTCGAAAAATTAACTCGGCCAACGGTGGTGGAACTACTCGGAACAGAGGAGTTACCAAACATACTCAATGTTGTTCTGCATGACAATTCATCATCTGATATCTGCTTTGCAGAAGATTGTGCACTAGAGACCACAGCATCCAAAAGATGATCCGTTACTCCTTCATTCACCGGAAAAGTATCAGAAAAATGATTTTGCATATCCCTAAACACCGAAGTATCCTTATCTACATTTTGCATCTTCGAATCCGATTCCTCAGAAACCACACCGTTCCACTTTGCATTGAGTAGTTTACTCTTTAAATCTGCCCCCAACACATCAAACAAGTCATCCCCCGAGGGTGGCTCGATTAGTGCATCTTCGTATGTAGAATTCAATGATCTAGAACTAAAACTTTTACTTTCATGCTTCAGGCAATCACGTATGGAACCTGGGAGTTTCTCACCAAAAGGAAAGACACCATTGGCATGGAGCAAAGGAACAATAGGTGCTCGAAACGAATCATTATCGGTACGATCGCTGTTGATAACATGATTTTGCAGACCAGCATCTGGCACAACCAGTTGCTCCATTGATTTTATGCCACTATGACTGACAACTGATTGACCAATTCTAGGCAGACAATTGAACTCGGACTGTGAGTTGCAAAAAGCAACTTGAGGGTTCGTCCACAAAGTCGGGTTTTCTTGAATCTGTTTCGTCAGGGACGATGATTGACCGGTAGCCCCTGAAGCTTGAGATGAATTTCTTTGTTGGTTGCAGCCTTCAGCAACCGAAATTACGGAATTCGTAGACCTGTAAATTCCTGCTGAATCCATTGAAACAGAGTTTTCTAAAGAAATGGGAATCCCAGTATGCTCAACACAATCATTTGTTCCACTGTTGGAGAGAAGAGCTCCAGGGATGGACCCCAAACACAGAATTAAGCTCTTCACAACGTTCACAAATCCCATATTCTCCATAATCTGGACGAGGAACAGGTAAATACTTAAACTCGAACGCGACTAACACGAATTTTAGTTTAATAAATCAAACATAGATTACTTACAGTTGTGGAAGATCCAAGCTGAAGAACACCATGAGGAAAAACCGGAATAACCGCAACGGTCTGCAGCTGATAAAAGTCCAATGAAGAAGCAAAGTGATAATAACCAAATAATGAGCAAGAGTACGAGTTATCGAACCTGCATCCCTGCCGAAAATTGGAGATGCACCTCATTTAGAACCTGAAAAGCATCCACAAAACTAGAAGTTATGTCAAGTTTAACATTTGGTGCATACAATATAACTTAGATATTCTTTATATTAGTACATGCAGAATCATGCACTCATCACAAGATAGAACTCTCCATTGTGGTTCTAGATGCTAAATTTGTAATATACCTGTGGAGGTTGAGCATCTATGACATAATTGTTTGCATTAATCCACTGATGATTTCCGGTAAACGCAGCTCGGCCAACTAACCTGAAAAACAACGGTAACAAGTATCTCAGATATTAATCCGGAAATTGAAAATTGGAAAATGGAGGAAGTATACCCTTGGCCGACGATCACAATGCGATTATTCATCATTTTGTTAATCAGCAAACCAACTTTGTCCCATGGTTGGCTACCAGGCTGCGAGGGATTGCCCGAACCACAGCCTCTGTCCGGCTCTACAAACGGCGGTTCCGGGTTCTGAAGTCCAGACAGTGCAGATTCATAGTAACATTCCTCCCAGATCAGCAACCTTCAAAGCGTAAAATACATCATTTTAGTACTCTAAAAGCCAACACCCATAGGGGAATGATGCCAAAAGTTTAGTCATGAACCCCACACGGTGGTTTTGGTATAATCAAAGGAGACGACAAATGAGAATAAATGCACCTATAGTTCATTAAATGCCGATACATCTCATCCTATTGGGGACCAAATTGTCCAAGTTTCTAGCATTGTTCTTTTCTCTCTAGATTTTCTCCGCAGCCAAACAGACAGTGACAAAAAAGGAAAGTGATGAAGATCCTACACAAGCACTGAAAGAAATAGAATTTTTTGCTATATTTGAAACAGGTAAAAATAAAGCCATAGAATCAAAAAAACGAAAGCAATATTCTGAATCAGTGGAATTTTCATCAGTGGAATTTTCAGCAGTAGACAGGTCCAAGACAGAAAGGGTTCCTTGTCAAACTTAAATACAAATCTACTTTTCATTCAGATTCTTTAAGACAAAACAAAAAAAAACAAAACATGAAGTTCCAAAAACAGAAAAGAAAAACAGCATCAGATTATATGGATTACAAGATGACAGGAACCAATCAAACTTCAACATGTCTAAAAACAAGTCCGGCACCTCAAGACCAAAGCAGTACTACTAACCAAGACAAGACTTTCGCCTTTGTTGATTTTCAGCGGTTTGGTTGCTGAGAAAATCATTAAAAAAGTTCAGTCGGTTTAAACTTTAAAGAGCTTAAAATGATGATACCAAGCATATATCAGATTTAGTAAAACTTCAGGAACTTTATAGAAAAACACCAACGTTCTCTTCCTTTTAACTTCATTTTTCTCTACAATCCATGGGGGAAAAAATGAAAAATAAAGCAAAGGTAGAAACAAAGATAATAAAGAAGAAAAACTTACTTAGTATTATGGCAGCCGATCTTCCAAAAAACAGCATAAGACCAGTGAGTCACCCCAAAAACTGACTTCAAAGCTTCTTTCAACAAACCACCCATTAGCTCTTATCCCTTTTCCTTCTTCTCAAAATATGCGGATATTATAGGCAACGCAGCCAACAAAAACGACTGAAAAAGCGATCTTTATAATAATAATACTCCCACATTCATAAGAAATAAAGCTAACTTCCTCTGCAAGAGCCTCGACCAGCCTGCTTCGTTCTCAAACCACCGCTTCTTTTTCTTTCCGGATCCAAATTCCCTGCTATCATCCTCCTCAAACCCCTCCCCATCAACAGTTTTTTATTTTATTTTATCTTTAACAAAAACTAGAAAACAACGAAGCAAAGAATGAATAAAGCTTCTTTATAGCTTTGGTTCATAGATGATTCCACAAGCTTCAAGCTTGACGATGGCCAAAATCTTCCCCATCTGTCAAAAGAAAAAAAAACAACAGAATATTTGACAGAAACCTATAATTTGTTTAGAGAGAGTCTGGGATTTCTCTTTTTCTTCTTTAGTGAATTAATGTCGCTGTGTTCAGGTTTTATTTTTTTTTCCTTTCTCTTCTGATAAAGTACAGAAACAGCTGATTTTTAGAAATTGGCACGGAGTTTAATTGAAATTACTGTAGATACCAAAATGATTTTCTTTTCTCCTGGTCGGTTCTGACCTTTTAATTAACTTATTAAAATAAAAAAATAAAGAAAAAATTACATACATAATCCCTTATTTATATGTAAGTAGATTCTGTTATCACCATTAATGTTAAAAAAAAATATTATAATCACTAATATTATTAATTTATTATATTATAATTAATTAGTTATTAAATCATTTATTAATTTATCATATTACGATCACTCATCGGTTAGTTATTGGTAAGAGAGTAAAGAAATTATATGACACATTAAATTTTATTAATAATTAAATGATATAATTTGATTAAGTTGAAAAAATTTATAATATATATAAAAATTAAAGCCGAGTTGAATGATGCAAAATATAAAATACTATCAAGAGTAAAATTAAATATTAATAATTTTGTTAATGTATAATGTTGTCGGTTTTTTAACTCTTTTAGCATGAGTTAATGTATGGATTATTATAATATAATAAATTGATAATATTAATGTATAATGCCATTATTAATTTTGTTAATGTATAATGTTGTCAGTTTTTTTAAAATAATTTATTGAAGAATATAAAAATCTTATAATATCACCATGGTCGGAAGTTGGAGTAAAAAAAATAGTAAATGTAATTAACTGGGGTAAATGATTCTAAGCTATAATCAAACATTGTGTTGAGCTAATAACCATCCACTCCCCCAACAAAAGTAGGCATTTGATTTATTTATTTACCCTAAAAATTTACTCGGGAAACCAAAAATCTTTACCCAAACCCTTGGCTCCATTGGATTCAATGGCCCTCACATTCTCTTGGAAATATAACACATGATTATTATTACCCTTTCATGCCACAATCAAGGTGGGTTCCTCGTGCAAATATACCTCTAAACCCTACCATTCTAGCCCTTTAATTTAATCAATTTCGAAAAAATAGGATAAGAGTAAGAGTTCATTATACTCCCCCCGTAAATTAATAAGGGAAAACTATGTTAGGTACCACTTAATTTTGCTCGTTGACTTTTTTATATCATCAAACGGTTAGTTATGTCAATCATAGCACTTAATTTTAGTTCTATATTCAATTATATCACTTCATCGTTAAGTCACTAACAAGACGATGATATAGTTAATGTTTGCTGACGTGACATATCATGTCAAAGCGTCATTTTGGTGTGATTATTCTGATGCCTAAAACGACATCATTTCAGACAACTTTAGGGGTGTATCAATTTTTTCACTTAACTTTTAAATAGTTTCTTTTTTAGAACTGTATTTTTTTGTTGTTGCCAATAGCCATGCACCGCCCGTCGTATGATTGATTTTCCACAAAATTCACTCAAAATTGACGAAAAATCATTGAAAAGATTGACATATTAATACTCTAATCTCTTTCAATGAACATATGATGAGAATAATTTTAAGGTGTGTTGTTTGTCTTCTCGAAATAATTTTTTCACCATTCAAATTTTCAAACAAACACTTCAAATCCTATAAATCTGAGAAATACTCCAAATATATATAAAAAATGATGGATTTTTTTTTGTTTAATTTCGTTGATTTTGAATAGATTTAGTGGACAACTAATCATATGAGAAGAATGATGAGTGAAATGTAAACATTCTGGTACCGATTTTGTTGGCAATCATGATCAATGACGCGTGAGGATTAGTTGTTAGTGGTTGTCGAAAAGTGCAATGCCAAAAAAGTAAATTGTATAAAATTTCAGTGGCAAAATTGATACATCCGTAAAGTTCAATGTAAAAAATGACGTCGTTTTAGGCATCAAAATAGCCACACGGAAATGGCGTTGCTTTGGTGTGACATGCCACGTCAATGTTTACTGACGATGATATAGTTAATGTTTGCTGACGTGACATGTCATGTAAAAACAACGTCATTTTAGTGTGATTATTCTGATGCCTAAAACGATATCGTTTCATAACTGAACTTTAGGAGTGTATCAAATTTTCCACTAAACTTTCAAATAGTTTCTTTTCTAGCACTGTATTTTTTTTGTTGCTGCCGACAGCCATGCGTCGCCCGTCATCGGACATATTCCGTGGCAAAATTGCAACCAAAACATTCATTTTCACTCATCTTCTTCTCGTAGGATTGGTTTTTCACAAAATTCACTCAAATGACGAAAAATCATTGAAAAGATTGACGTATTAATACTCTGATATATTTCAATGAACATAATATGAGACTAATTTTGAGGTTTGTTGTTTGTCTTCAAGAAATAATGTTTTTTCACTATTTATATTTTCGAATAAACACTCCAAAATCCTGTAAATCTGAGAAAGTCTATAAACAAATAAAAAATGATGGTTTTTTTTGTTTAATTTCATTGATTTTGAGTAGATTTCGTGGACAACTATTCATATGAGAAGAATGATAAGTGAAATGCGAAGATTTTAGTACAAATTTTGTTTTGAATTATGATCAATGACGCGCGAGGATTGGTTGTCAATGGCGGTCAAAAAGTGCAATACCAAAAAAGTAAATTGTATAAAAATTCATTGACAAAATTAATACACTCGTAAAGTCCAATGTCAAAAATAAAGTCGTTTTAGGCATCAAAATAGCCATACGAAAATGACGTTGCTTTGGTGTGACATGCCACGTCAATAAACATAAGTCATTTCATCGTCTCGCTAGTGACTTAACGGCTGAGTAGCATAATTGAATGTAAAATTAAAGTTCGATGCTCTAATTGACAAAAGTAAAAGTCCAATGGTATAAACAACTCAACGAACAAAGTTTAATGGTATATGAAATACTTTTCCCAGTTAATGTCTCCCAATATATAAAAAAAATATAAAAAAAATAGGATAAATTATATGTATGACCATTGAACTATTATATTTTTATTTTGATTATCGATCGTTTAATTTTATTAATCATGTCACTTAACTATTCAGTTGATGTTAATCAAGCCACGTGATGTGATAGTTAACATTGACATGTATTATCTCTTGAATGAAGGGTTAATTTATTGAATTAAATTAAAATTAGGATCAAATTGATATAATGTATAAGTATTGAGTATCAAACATGTAATTATACTAATTTTATTAACTACCATGTTAACAATTCCGTTAGATATCATCAGCATATGACTTGATTGATATCATTTAAATGATTAAGTAGTCTTATAGACAAAATCAAAAGATTGATGCTCAAAATAAAAAGAGGAATAATTAAATGGTAATACGTATACTTTACCCTTAATATTATCATGATAACAACGTGATATATTTTTATTGAATGATTTAATAATTTTAAATATAATATAATTATATTAATAAGAATATCTTAAATGTAATGAAATATTCGAAATTATACGTACATACAAATCAATTCAAAAGTATAGTTGTGATTTGATTACTTTATTAAACCTCAATTAATCTCTGATTATATATATTTTACATAAAGTTCAGTATTTTTTGTGGGGAAATGGGTTAAAAAGATTCATGTTATTCAGAAAGCACATGAGTGTGTAAGTGCCCCATGTTGACAGTAAAATATGCATATATTTTTTTACTGAGAAAATTCCTTTGTTTCTTGGAATATACCATTGGTTGGTGTGGAATCGCATTCATTTTCGAGCAGAGTGAAGAGTATGATTTACTCAATCAAACATTCTTTTTAAGAAAACAAAATTCACCTCAACACCGTAATCATAAAACCCTTTTATTCTCTTTAAATATATTGGAAGTGTGTGTACTTTCTAACCCGCGTGATATAGGCGTATAAATAATTATTAATCATACTTAATTTTTATTTTGAAAATTCTTTATAATATTCCAATCACCGATATCTTTTTTTAGTAGACATAGAAATTGTTCCATTCAATAAAACAAAATAAAATGAAAAAAAATAGGCAACCTGCATGACAAAGTCGGGCCTAAAGAAGCCACACGTGTGAAAAGAAAACTCCGACCACATTTGGAGCAGTCGACGAAATGTCTGGATCAAAAGGTGGCCTAACTAGGGAGACTATACCCATTTTATTGGGCTCCTTTTTTGCTTATTGGGTTTGATGGGTAAGATTAAAATACCCTCTAGGGTTTTTTCCTGATATATATATATATATATAAACGAACAAATTAATAATATAAATGTGAAAATCTCCTGCATGATTCAACTGATGTCATTCCTACGTTTTGGATCTCAATGGAATAAGGTATGTTGTTGGACTGCCTTGTATTGCCTACATATTTTGTTAATCAATAAATATTTGAAATTTATAAGAAAATATTTATAACACGATTAAATATATACGAATACAATAAATTCATATATGAGATTGGTATCCAGGGCAAGCACTTACATGAAAATTAATTAAACCTACCTTGATTCGCAAGGAAGATGTAAAATAATGATTTCGATCAACTTTTGATTTGGAGTTCCACCTATATACTAAAAGCAAATTAAAAAAGAGGGAGAGAGTAAATAACTAAATAATAAATAAAAGATGGAAATCAATAAAGAGCTCCTTTGGTAAAAATGCGACAGTTGGAACAATCAACACGTGTCACTTTTAGAAACTGCTCCTAAAAATTCATTATTGGGTGGAGCAGCATCTCACCATGCACCTTTGACCGTGTACGAAAACTAATATAGATGTATATTAAGATTCACACACAGAATGTAGAATTATTTTATAGTTATATAGATTTAGTATCATTAGATGAGATTAAGATTAAATACTTATTTGTTTTCAAGGAATATATTCTTATTTATTATTGTTAATCTTAATCGTTTATTTTCGTTCATTTAATGATCTTAAATCTATATAAAACTAAAAGAGTTTTAATTAATTAATCAGTGATCATGATATTGCTATTGAATGACAATGTCATTAATCTAATTTAATTAGATACGATCAATTGGTATA